GGGAGGGATCGACAAAACCAGACTAAAAGTCGGGTTCGCAAAAGAAATAGAGTTATCTCTAACTCTATTCATTACAACGTTTAAATACTAAAATCAAATAAACTCAAATACGTCAATATTACTACTCTAATTTACTAATCCCAAGAATTACCTCATAATTGCACTGATCAAATACTAATCGTAATTATTACCACATAGTTATCCTAGTCTAATTCATTAGTAATACGATCAATATACTAAGCCACGTCACTCATGTGACTGTAATAGGGCATGTCACATGCCTAGTTACGGGCTGATTCGAGACAAAAGCTGCCTCGATACTATCGTATCGAGCAGCTATATTACTTTACAAATGCTTTTATTACACAAATGGGTACTGCCAAGTGAAAACCTGACATTCTAAAAATAGATTTCTACGGACAACGGAACACGGACTTTAAATGAGACTACTATGTGATCAAAAAAAAACAGTATAATCCATTATTCTAGTCAGATTAGTTCAAACCCCGCATTCCGTTGTTCATAGAATCTATTTTTAGAATGTCAGGTTTCATTTGGCGGCACCCAAATATGGTGGATAACATAAAATTTAAACCAATCAACATAACGAGTAAAATTTAAGCAATCAACATATAAGTACAAAGCAAATATGACTACTGTAAAGCATATACATCTGAGGTTTTATCAGTAAAAAAAAAAATGATTTCTTCAATTAAAAGTGTCTTCAAATGGCGAAAGGATGCCAAAGAATTATTCGAATTAGGAAATAGTTATCTAAATGGAAATGGTGTTAAACAGAATTATAAAAAAGCCTTCAAATTATATCAGAAATCCGCTGAGATGGATCATGCAGGGGGAATGGTTAAACTCGGTTATGTTTATGAAAATGGGGTTGGGGTTGAAAAAAATGAACAAAAAGCATTCGAATGGTATCTAAAATCAACTGATCTTAAAGATATTGAAGGAATAAATAATCTTCGTCGATGTTTCGAATATGGAATCGGAGTTGAGAAAAATGAAGCGAAAGCATTAGAAGCATTAGAATTATACTTGAATGTATATTTAGAAGCATATTTGGAACAATATGATTTACAATGGATTTCGTACAACCAATTTAAAAATATTAAAAAGATTGGTCAAGGTGAATATTCTACAGTATTCAAAGCCGATAGAGAAAATAAAGCAGTTGTTCTTAAATTAATTCATGATTTAAATACATTTGATTTTATTAAAGAGGTATTTATTGTCATTGTTGTAAATTTATTTGATTTCAATTAATTTTTTTATGATCTTATTATCTAGTTGAAGACATATTGCGAAATTGGATATGAAAATCCCGCATTTTTAAAATGTTTTGGAATATCACAAATTGAATTCACAAAAAATTACGTTCTCATTTTGGAATATGCTGAAATGGGTTCTTTACGTAATAATCTTCTCGCAGTATCGCAATTGAAATGGTTGAAAAAATTAAATTTATTGTATCGTATTGCTTATAATCTCCAAATTATTCATTCCCATAGACTTATTCATCGAGGTTTACATAGTGGCAATATTTTGCTATTTTCTTTATATAATGCTTACTTGGAACCTTCAATATCATATAACACTAAACAAAACGATGAAATATATGGGGTCATGCCGTATGTAGCTCCAGAAATTTTACTAGGTCAGGATTTCACAGCAGCATCAGATGTCTATGCGTTTGGAATTATTATGATAGAAATAGCAACTGGACAAAGGCCTTTTGATGGTAGTCAATTTGATATTGGGCTTGCAGTGAAAATTTGCCAGGGAGAACGCCCAAAATTCAATTCAAAAACTCCTAATCTTTACGCTTATTTAGCCAATCGTTGTTTGCATTCGGTTCCAAGCAGACGGATTAGTATTTTACAAGTTACTCAAACAATCAATGATTGGGTTACAAAGTTAAATACTATTCCTCCGCAAGATCCTGAAGAAATTGATGATTCTACTGAGCTAATTAAGGTTGCATTTCGAGATGATTATGAAATTTCAATTGTCGAACAAAAACATCCCGATCATATGTATACAAGCAAAATTATCAGCACACGACAAATATCTGAAGCGTTTCAAGCTCAAAGTTTTAAGAGTGTCAATTTACACGTCAGTGACGAATAAAGACCGTAAATTTGAATTATCATAAAGAGAAATGTTTATAACTTAGTTATTATTTTTTTTAGTAGCAACATATCTGTTACAAAATATGAAAATAACTATAATTAACCTGTAGTCATTATTTAATATCTCTCAAAACTTTCTGATACGTTCCAATTTTATTATTAACCTTAACATATCTAAGATAAACATTTATGCAACATGATTGTTGTATAAATAAAGATTTATAGAATTATCCAAGACATACAGGTAGTGATAGGAATCGACTAAATAATAGTCGACTAAGTCGACTAAATTTTTGTAGTCGACTAAAATCAACTAGTTGAAATAGTCAATTAGTCGACTAGTTGATTAATTAGTTAAGGCTATATCAAAGCTAATTTTAGGTGTTGTTTATTACAAAATACTTGTAATTAGATTCGAACAAATTTAATATTTAACAATTTATAGCCAACTAATCGTAGACAAAATTTTACTTGTTCTTAGATAGCATAGATCAGATGGTATAGATCATGTGCACTTTTTATCTATAATATAC